TAAACTTAGCAAAAAGGCATGATTAGGTGTAAAAAAAAAAAAAAAAAAAAAAAATTAATAATTCGATTATTTTGAAAAGTATCAATATACTTTAGAAAAATAAATTATTAAAATAATATTTCTAGATATTTTTTATATTTTAGATATTTTTTATATATAGTATATTATAATTAGTTTTTTAATATATATTTTTTATTATAATAAAAAATTAAAATAATATTAATAATATTATTATTATTAATATTACTAATTAATAACTATTATATTTAATTAATTATTAAGAAAACATATTATTAGTATTATTATATATTTTTAACAATAGTTTGATTATTTTAAAAAATATTATTATATTTTAGAGAAATGAATTTATCAAAGTAATATATTTAATTCTAAGTATTTTTTATATTATAATTAATTTTTATATATTTTTTTCTTGTTTAATTTTTTATTATTTATTAATTTTTTTTTTTTTAGGTTTTATTATATACTGTATACTTTAAATAAATATTTATAATTATTCAATATTATTTTTAATACATTATATATTTATTTTAATATTTATTTTTCTTTACTATTTTAAGTAATTTCTATAAACAAATTAGCATTAAACTCATTAATCAATTGATTATATAAGAGATATTGTTATTTTCTTTATATATAAAATCTTTATATTTTTATAAATAATAAAGTAATAATGTTTATTTATTTAAAATAATAATAATAATAATAATTAAACAACACATCAAATTTTATTTTTGTGATATTTTAATAATTAACTAATAAATAAAATAAAAATTTTATTTTAATATAAATAAAAATATAAAAAATAAGTTTACTTATAAAGTTTTTAAAATATGTTATTAAAATTTAAACACATTGATATGCAACTAATTAAGAAATCACGGAAATGAACAAGTTTCTAAATTTAAATTCGATCATACTAAAAAGGAATAGTGAATTAATATTATCTTTGATAAATGATGTTTAAGAAAATTCTACGCTGCTCTCAAGTTGAACATGAATAAATATAACTTCTGCGGAAGTATCAATTTTATATTATGTATTAAAATTTGAACACAGCGTATAGTTTGGAAGTGACCTCTTATGAGTCATTAATTTTTTCTGCGGATAATGTGGGAAAAATTGTGTAATCGCAGTATTTACTGCGACGGCATGTTTTTAATAAAAACGATGCGAAACTAATTTGGAACTTTTTAATATTTCAATTTCAAAAAAAACCAAACATCTATTACTTCGAAAGAATTTTATAAATTTTAAACTAGCAGAGATGCCTTCTAATTTGCCAACCACCATCCAAACTACTAATACAAATACCAACAAACGTTTTTTCAATTGGGTTTTTGAATCAAACAACATGGAAAGATCAAGCATTCTTGGAGAATCATATTTTGAGGAGTATGATCGGGAGGTCGAGGATACAGGCGAAGGAAAGCTTTGTTTTGATCAAGACCTACGACGACAATATGAAATTTTGCAAGAAAGTAGACGACATTGCTTTGCGTCTCTCGCTCCAATGTGTTATCCGAGATTCTATTTTATGCCGTGCCTCTTCTCATGTCACCATCTCTTCGAAAACCTCGACTTCAATAACTTCTTCGACCGCCACCTTTATTGATCACCTTTTTATGAAATTCAAAGACATGACAATTCGCGCATCTTTAAACGATTTATCAAAACTTTATATCAGTTTAATGGACAAAAATACTAAAGAATTTTTAATACTGAATGTTAATGCTTTTGGATGGCGATTCGAGGATATGAATTGGGGGATTGGTGCCACGAAAATGAAAAGTTTACCAAACGCTGGTGGTGGAAGTTTATTATCTGAAGTTTTTTCCTGTGAAATCATGGAAAGAATTTTGCGTGTAGAGCTGCTCAAAACTGAGGTGATGATAATTTTGTATGATAATTCACAGTTTATACGTATATATGCTAAACCAAATTTTTCTTAATTCAGATGGAAATCAACTATTCTTTCATAAATCAACCAATGACCGATTACTTGGT